AGGAAAAATGATCGGTGACTATNAAAAAACGAGCAGGCCTGCAGCTGCGCTGATGGCGCTACAGCGCCGCCACAGAGGCACTGCCCGACCCGCGGTCCACTGCTGCTTCCTAGCTGCCTGCCTGCCTAGCCCAGCTAGTGCGCCGCCAGCCTCAGTCTCCGCCGCTGGCCCAAGCGCCGAGCGCCTCTCTGGGCGGTCCCTCAGTTGGACACCATGCTCTCCGCCTCCTCAACAAACCCGTCCCCACTCCACTCGTCGTCCTTGGCCAGCCCCACCCGCGCTTTCTTCTTGGCCTCCACCGCCTCGCGCTGCATGCGCACCAGCTCGTGGTGGGTGGTGAAGTAGGGCAGCGAGGCGCCGCGGAACTGCTCCACAGAGGCGAAGTCGTGCTGCTGCATGAAGGCCTGCGGGGAAGGAGCGGGGCAAGAGAGCAACAAGGGATGGATAAGCAACGGCGAGGGGGCTAAAAAAGAGTGCAAGCTGGGGCAGGGGGCTGCTGCATCTACATGTGCATGCCGGCAGCGAGAGATGCAGCAGGCGCCCCCTGCAGCACGCTTGCCCTGCTGCCGCACCTGCAGGCCGCCGCACAGCTTCTTGATGAGCGGGTAGCCGTACAGCATGACGCCGGTGCACACCTGCAGGCAATGGGCATTGTGGGCACGGGCCACGCGGCGGGACACTCCAGGTTACCAGCAGCGAAGCGTGCGATGTGCGTGGAGGGCCTGCTGCGTGCCTGCCCCTGCCTGCCAGGCGCTCCCTGCCTGCCCACCTGCACCGTGTTGGAGCCCAGCAGGATGAACTCCGCCGCATCCCGCCCCGTGTTGACGCCCCCCAGCCCGCTCAGGCTGGCGGCTGAGTGCGGGAAGTCGTGGCGCATCATCTGAGCGATGGACATGCACTTGGCCAGGGCGATGGGCTTGACGGCGCGGCTGGAGTAGCCGCCAGGGGTGGTATGGCCCTCCACTGCAGCGCGCGGGCAGCACGCAGGGGACGGGTCGCTGGGTGGGGGCAAGGAACAGGCAGGCACGGGGCTGGAAAGGTATGCGGATGCTCAGGTGGCAACCTGCACGCCCCACCGCCGGGCTGCTGTGCTGCTGCTGCTGCTGCTGCCGCGGGCTCCGCTCACCGCATGGCTCTGGGCGCAGCGTGTCCAGGTTGATGCCCATGACCGAGGTGATGGTGTTGATGGCGGCGATGCCCTCGCATCCAGCAGCCAGCGCGGTGCGGGCGGGCATGCTGATGTCTGCATGGCGGCAGCGCGGGCGGGTGGGTGGGCAGGCAGCTGGGAGGTCTGGGCGGCAGGCTGAGCTGGGTTGGGCTGGTGGAACACAGTCGTTGCGCTGCTTGGCAAGCACAGCACAAAGAGGGGGTGCGCCAGCGCGCAGCGCCACCCACCCGTCACGTTGGGCGTCATCTTGGCCCACACCGGGATGGTGGACTTGGCGTTGATCCAGCCGCACACCTCGTGCAGGAGCTCGCAATCCTGCAGGGCACACACACACACACACACACAGTCTGTACACAGTCTGGCAGTTAGGCGGGCAGGCAGTCGGGCAGCACATGTGCGATGCTGCGGTGCACTGATGCTGCCTGGGTGCTCAGGCCCCCCACCCCGCACCTGCCCCATGGCCATCCCCATCCTGCGCTCGGGCATGCCGTGCGGGCAGCTGAAGTTGATCTCGAAAGCGTCAACGCCCGCCTCCTGGCACCGCTCAATCAGCTCCTCCCACTGCACCAAGGGCGCGCACGCAGCGCCGCAACAAGCATGAGGGTCTGGCCCCATCCCTCGGGCACCGGTCGCTGCTGGTGGACGCCACCGCTCTCGCTTTCCACCACAGGCAGCCCGCCCAAAGCACACACACACACACACACGTACACATTG